AAAAAAAAAAAAAAACAGTCATCATAAATTCTGGTCTCACAATCTTTTTTTATTTTCTTTTTGTTGCAGCAGTAAAGAAATATGACTCATAATAACATTTTGAAAAAAAAAATTATTTAGTTACTGGTTGTTTTCCACTGATGGTCATTTTTCTCAGAGTGTGATCTTTATTTCAACATCAGTGTGCATTATCCAGGATTAAACCACCATTCGACTGTGAAAAGTACAGCTTGCCTCAGTGCTTGTTTATGACACAGTAAATCACTTGGAATCAACCAATCATACGCCACTAATTAAGCCACTGTGGCAGCTGATAGGTTGGTCTTGGACAGCAAGAATCTGTTCAGATTTTGTACTTCTGTTTGAAAACATCTGGCAGCACTGCTGTTTGCTGAGCTACCTTACAGACAATTTAAAACTGCCTGATGCCCATATGGGAGTTTTTTTGCTGGCAGTATCTACTCCTACTAAAATATAATCTTCTTGTAATCAAAAGCAAGATGTCATGTTTCTTAGTCAATAAAAGCCTTATGTTGTGACCTATTTTCTATTTTTAAATATATATACCATCAGTACAGAAAAGTATAAATGAGCTCATTTGTAAGTTTGCTATTTAAGTAACAGGCTGTTGGAACTTATTTGAGAGAGTAAGCAGTCACAAAAAGGTAGCAGTTTATGACTGGACCTACAGAACATATCTCATTCACCTCAGTGTGATTTGTACATCTTGAGAACTTACAAGGAAGCAAAATCTCCATGGTTCTACATTTCTGACCCTTCATTTGCTTAAGTGCTGGTTTTGTGTTTTCTAGGTTAATTAACTAATGTCACCATATGTAGGACTGAGCCTCACAGAGCGCTCAAATACACTTGTCATGATTAGGAATGAATAATAATATACAGTAGTCCCTCGATACTTCGCGGTTCATTTATCGCTGACTAGCTCTGTCACGATTTTTCAGAATAAGATTGGACATTACACACAATTGACTGACTGATGGATGAGCCGCACAATTGGCATGGAATTTATGTTTAAAATAAATTAATTTAAATTATTTAGTACCTACTGCACCTTTGTGCAGCCATTACTGCAGGATAAGCTTCCTGCTGCTGATCAGCTGCTCTCCATGGAGAGTCAAGTCAAGTCAACTTTATTTATAGAGCACATTTAAAACAGAACCTGTTATCAAAGTGCTTAACAACAACAACAACAACAATCAATGAGTAAAATTAAAGGGGGAAAAAAATATATATATATACACTACACTAATAATAATAACTGATGAATTAATAAAAAGCATTTAAACATAGGGTCACAGATTAAAAAAAAACACTAGCTCAATTTACAGTGTGTGAAATGCTTTCAAGAACAGATGAGTTTTTAGCAGGGATTTGAAATGAGGAAGGGAGGTGGCCCGCCTTATGTTGGGGGGCAGGTTGTTCCAGAGTTTGGGGCCCATGACTGAAAATGCCCGTACTCCTCTGAGCTTCAGTTTTGTTTTTGGAATAGCCAAAACCAGCTGATCAGATGATCTCAGGGCCCAAGAGGGAACGTAAGGTTCCAGAAGCTCAGAGAGGTAAAGGGGTGCGAGGCCATTTTGGCATTTGAAGGTCAACTGAAGAATTTTAAAGAATATCCTCGTACGAACTGGGAGCCAGTGAAGGGAGGACAGAACTGGTGTAATATGTTCAGACCTACGAGTTCCGGCTAAAAGCCGAGCAGCAGCATTCTGGACGAGCTGAAGACATGAGGTGGAGGCCTGTCTGATCCCAGCACAGAGTGCATTGCAATAGTCCAATCGAGTTGTGACAAAGGCGTGGACTAGTTTCTCAAGGTCGGGTCTGGACAACACTGGCTTGAGCTTAACTACCTGTCTGAGTTGGAAGAAGCTTTTCTGCAGACCAGAGCAGTGAAGTGGGCATGGCCAAGAGTGCTGGCAGGCAGCTAAGAGCCGAGGAGGCAGGGAGCTGAAATCATGACATTCTGTGCTCTTTTAGAGCATTAGAGTTGAGAAACTTTACTTAGAATATTGCAAGAGTGTGGGAAGAGATTAAAATGCCTTAATACACAAACACACACACATA